AGAACTTGTAGTTCAGCCCCACCTTGACAGCCTTTTCCCAGACATTCTCAGGGCTCTGCTGCAGCAGCTGAGCTACTGTGATACTGTAGCACACCCTGTAAAGAGGATTTCCAGTGTACAGGAAAGATTAAGAGCAGGAAACAGAAAAATCACGTTCCTGGGACTGGTAGAGTCAGTACTAGTACAAAAATTGTTTCAAGTCCACCTGCACTCACTGCTACAAATGATATCAGATTAGCAGGTCTTTATTTTGTGTTAAAAGAAAATGGCTCTGACAGAACAGATCCATTTCCGTGGTAGCAAACAGTGATGGTGAACTGGTTTATCAGTGAAAATGGGTAGAGAAATTTGGCAATTGCCTCACTGGAGAAGGCAAGATACTGTTTTTGGAAATTTTTGGGGGTAGTAGGGGAGAATACAAAAGAAGTATCTAGAACTGACATCTTGCTGGTTGAAGGTAGGATAGCACAAATAATCTGACAGGCACAGTATGTTTCAGGTTGCAGTTGATGTTCCTTTGAGAGAAAATGGCCTGACTTCTGGTATTGGAACACAAATACCCCAGCCTGCCTGGCTGGAATCACTTTTTATGGTACTCTGTAACTTGGTGTTTGTTTCCCTCTGGGAAAGGGAGACAGGATCTCTCCTCTTCCTGAGCTCACAAGACTGACACAAGTGTGTATCGTGGCATTTTGTGCAGAGTTGTGAAATCTGGGGCACAGGAAACTACATTATTCAAAATGGGAAAATAAAATTCTGTATGTGGATTTCTGATCTATATTCACTATGTTGAAGATACAGTTAGAAATCTGGTGTCTTGCTTAATTGGAGCACAGAGCAGTTGACTTGGGACAAATTATTTTCTTGTAAATCATTTAGTAATCTCCTAGTTTGTCATCTATAAACTGTCATAACTATTTGTCCTGCCTCCATCTACCTTGTCCTTGGCCACTAAAAGTACAGAACCCTGCCTTATTCTGGCAGTACCTTGTTTATTTGGGCTGTGAGGGAGCTCTTAAAACTCTTTAATAGGCCACTTTGCTCTTGCATTTTAACTTGTTAAAGTGTGTGGTACAGGACCACTAGTACAAACATCTGCAAAACTCCATCTTTTTTCCAAATCCTTAAGAAAAAAATTTAAAAAGCTGAATGTAGAATCTGGCTTTTCTGAGCAGAAATAGGCCTGATTACAAGCCAGCTGATAGTTGCTCATAAGAACAGCTGAATTGAATCAGACTAAGTATACACACATTGTAGCATCTTGTCTCCAGCTGTGGTCAAAATAAGTTGCTGAAGATGAGTAAGTTGAGCACTGCAGTGGTGTGTTCTTTAAATATTCTAACAGCAGTTTGAAATCTTTTGTGTTTAACAGCCATCAGTTAACTCTTTCCTGTTCAGGTAACTTCTGAAGCTGTTTCATTCCAAGGGAATGGTACTTTACTCTCACATATTGTCAAGAATTGCCATTTGTTTTGGGCTTGTCTGCTGCTAGATTCATCTGATGCTGATGATTTTTACAGATAGATGCCAACTGGTCTGCTTCCAGTCATGCTTTCCAAGCTGCCCCACATTTGATAAGCTTATGGCATAGCTCCCTGCACTTGTGTCAGGTCAAGGAAAGTCTTGGTTTCCTTAGTGGCCACCTGTATAAATTATTCCTAGGCCATTGATTATCCTGGTCAGTCTTCGGTAAATCTGTAAGATACAAAGGAAGGCAAGGACCAGTAGTACTTGTCTAGGATTGCACGCAAAAAGTTAATGAAATAGGTCTGTATTTTACTGTTTCTTTTGCTTCTCATTCTATGTGCTTTTTGATGACATTGACCTCAGTATGAGAGAGCTTGGAATTCTGGTAGATGGAAACCCTGAGCAGCAATGATAAGCAAAGAGTTTGGGGTTTAACCTATTGTTCATTACCTACGTTGTCCTGTTTTCCCTCTAAAACATGGACATAACACTTTACTTTTTTTCACCCAGTTCCCTTTGGAACTTTTCATGAGGCTTGATTCTAACAGAATGCATGAACTCCACAATCAAAAGCTCAATGTATTTGTAATACAAAGACAAAATGCCAAGCTAAGGTGTTTTCATTTTACTGGGTTCAGTCCAGTGGCACAGATAATCTCACTGCTCACTAGGAAGGATGTATGTCTGGGTTTGGTATAAGCACTGCTGCACAGCTGATGGAAACTGAAAATTATTTGGGGATACTATAAACCCCTTACTGTAGTTCCAACAGAAAGCTGAGGGAAGTAGGCACACAGGAATAGAAGCTGCTAGTCCTTCAAGGAATTTGCTCTACTCCTAGAACTGGTCATGGTTACTTTAGCCTTATGCTGCATACATGACACTGAGAAAGTATTCATGTTCTTTTCTTGAGGCATATTGTTGGTAGCGTGGCATGTTCACTCCTGGCTTCAAGAGATGGCCTTGGCATTTTTAGATCTGTGTAGTACTGGACCCTGCTAGTATCTGCTCCTCATTTTAGACATTCATTCTACCTGGGAATTAAGTAATGGCAAATGTTCCATGGGCCACTGAAGAGTATGTGGGGACAGATTTGTCACTGCCTTGAGGCTTCCTCGATAGCTGCGTGCAGTTAAATTAGTCACAGCCACACAAAGGGAGTGGGTTAAATGGCCATCAGTGTACTTATTCTTGCTTATTATCACAGGGTTCTGATGAATCTGAAGATGGACACTAGAAAGTTTCCAGTACTTCTCAGTGAGGCAACACCTTTGCTGCTGGTCCCTGCCCTGACAGAACTAAGCTCTTCAGGAGACAGTTGTAGCTTGTCCTCTCTCTTCTGCTGCAATGATCTGACCAGCAAAACACTTGTTTTTCTTTAGTCAACAGAAGAGCAGTTACACAGCAGTAAAAGAAACTCAAGTTTCTAGCCTGTCATGGCAATTTTTATTTTCTTAGCAAATAGGTTCTATGTAAAGCAAAGTCCAAACTCGCAAAAAAAAAAACACAAGAGGCTGGAAGATTTTTGGAATCCACAAAACTGCATACAACAGAGGTCGTGCTTTGTAGTGTTCTCTCTACAGATAGCAGATGCAGTTGGAGCAGTGCCCTTGTGGGACAGGTATCGGGTTAGGGGAAGGGGTGAAGCTGGCCCATGTGCTTCCTGAGCAGCTGATGGCAGCAGGCCTGCTGCTGTGGGTAGCTGTGAGGCAGCAACACTCTGCTGGAAAAGGCACACACTGTAAATAGGGCTGCAGCTCTGCTGCAGAATAGAAGCACTTTTATTCCCCAGTAACTGACACCACCCAAATTCTTCTCCTTATACCTTCGCTGAAGTCTCTGCAGCTGAAAAAGATCTATTGTCTCTAAAACAAACGCACAGTCTCTGGCTTCTAACTTGTTTTGAATTTTTTACTATTATACGGCTGCTGTGATCATCTAGTCTGACTTCCTGCCTACCACAGTCTATAAACATCCTGTAAATAGCTTCAAGTCTGATAGCTGTGATTAAATTGGAATGTTGTTAGAAAATTCCTATGAAGTAGCAAATATGTCAAGATAAGCTGCACACTACAACCTTAAATGGGTATTGCTACTGCAGATTGACAACCTGACCACAGGCTCAATGCCTGGAAGCAGATCACCTTCCATATAGTACATTTTCTAACTGCATCTAGAATGATATCCTGGAACTGATCTTTCCAGTTTGGCATGTTCAGGAGGAAAAAAACCCAGAGAATACCTGTTACAGGCACCTTCCTGTCCATAGCACTGCACTACAACTGTGTGATGTCAATTCCTGATACATTTTTCAGAGCTGTTTCTTTAGAAGAGTTGCTGTAAGAAATCCAGTTTGATGGGAATTGCTTTGCTGTTTCTAGGGCACCTGTTATTCAAACAACTTGCAAAAGTCGAAAGTAGCTCAGAGATAGGTCATTTCCTTTATTAACTACAAAGAAAATCAGTTGGGAAAGGATATCCATGAAGTGTGTATCCTAACTGTGAACCTTAATTACACAATTGTCCTTCCTCTCTGCAGGCAGTGCTGATTCACATTGTTCTACTGGGCTGGAAGAGCCTAAAGCATGTACAGGAGTTTTGAGTCATGTGCAAGAGTTCAAGAGCAAGAATTTGTGATTAACAGATGCCTCATTAAAACACCAGCATAGGCTGCAGCAGCACTGACTTTTTTTTTTCTTTTACCAGGGAAAACAGCATCCCTTGGCATCCTTTGAGTCAAAACACAAGCAAACAGTATCTAGGGAGCAGTACAGGAGAGTGAAAATCTATGATTGGCTTTTATGAAGCTGCCCAACTTTTGTGCTTGTTAAATATGACAGTTGCCAAACAAAATAATTCCTGTGTCTCCTTTATCAGACTTTGGATGTGCTAGGAGACATTCACAGTCTTAAGTGCAGCCACTCTACAGATAAAGGCAGTATTTATATACTCTTGATGATACTATAAACCAAACATACAAATCTCCTACTAGTTTATTAGTTTTTAGCAGTTCATAAATATAAAACCTCATTAAGAGCTCCTGAATCATAATTAAGTGACGTCCTCCAAAGAGTTTTCAGTGTGTTACACTGAAATTACTGAACTAAGACTCTCAAGCAGCACATTGTCTTATCTCATAAAGATCTTTTGATGTTGAATGGATTGTCTTGTGTTGACAACTAAAAGATAGTGTATGTTTTGACCTTCTGTCCAATAATACAACAAACAGGAGAATCTAAATTTCTATAAACTTTGTCAGGATTTCTATTTATGACAAAGACTGCTTTTCATAAATCCCAAAGACACAGGTTTATTAAACTTCTTTTATCACTACTAAATGATAAGAGAATGTACATTCTGCTGCAACTGAGACTTGTGTTACAAGAGCAGAGCAAAGATACAGATAAAGGACTGATATAACTATGATTGATAATAAGGGAAGTAAATGCATCCAGGCTCAAAGATTACTTTTCAGAATGCCTGTGAGCTACCTTCCCCCATCTTACACTACATATTCCACTTCTATCATGAATTTATACACCAGGTATTGCAAATTGCTTAAAACAACAGTATACAGTCCCAAGCCATGGAGGATCTGAAGATGGTGTCTCTTTTAATCTTCCAAAAAAGGGATAGTCCTTGTGATTTTTGCATCTAGAAACTAAAACTGTGAACTACAGTAAAAACACGTCTGTCTGCTTAGTGTACGCAGGGCAGTAGAAGTGAATGCTTGGTAACCTTCACATGTATCAGTGACCTCGTTCTCAAAGGATAAAGTATCTTTTGCTTAGCTGAAATTGCCAGACTTCCCTGAGGTACTAAACAGCTCTCTTGTGAACTCCCAAGCCTGCAGTATGCTGTTAGGTAAGTGGGTAACCCAGGAAAACAGAATAAATTGCACATCTTGGTAAGTCTGTATCTAACCATTCTGTTATCTGGACACTGCTTTAATAACATTGGCATGAGTACATAGGCACAGCTCTTCACTTCAAAAACGCTTACAACTCTCATTCTTAAAATGGAGTTTATTTACACTGGCTATCCCTTATGTAAAGGAGCCAAAGAAAACAGAACAAAAAGTATTGCCACTTATTTATTTTGGAATTTCCAGCTGATTTTGATTTTCAGATAGCAGTTTGGTATGCATCCAGTACAAAATGCCTTAACACACAGTGTGCCTGCAGAAATTCCAGTGTTACCAACCTGTACAGGATGGGCAATGCTCTAATAAACCCAGCTGCTGGATTCCAGCAGATGTGGATGTGAGGAGGTAAAGGTTCCCTCTCTTTTTATTTTCCAGTGGGGCTATCAAATACTATCTGTTTAGAGGATATCCAATGATAATCCAATCTTGCTAAAGCCTGGAGGAGGAGGAGATACTTGCTTAATGCACAGATATGGTATCTTGAAAGCAAGGACAATTTCCATCTCCTCTTTGGTCAATTCAAAGTCAAACACCTGAAAAAAGCTCCCAAACAGTTGGGTTACTTCAGTTTGCAAAGAGACAAGTAAGATCATTTGCAGAAAAAATACCCAAAACAGGTTGAAACCCTAGGAAGTGTGCAGTAGGCACATTTGTGGAGAGCAATGAATAAATGTCATAAAGTTACAGTGCTGGTGGGGTCTAATTGCATCATCTCACTATGTTCTAAGACTTGGCTTCTTTTAAAGTAATTTTTTTGCATTCATAGGGAAGTAACCTACTTGGTTAGGTTACTGACAGACAAAAGGTTTTGCCAGTTCTGACTGTGAAGGGGATACTTTGTGCCACTGGCAGAGTGGGTTTTTTTCACGTATGGAGTTTTAACACCATTAATATTTCTGTAAGGTACCTTTTACCTTAAAATTTTCTTCAATATGCTTATGTTGACAGCTTTGGGAATTATATGCATGTTTCTTTGAATCTGAAGCCGGGATAAGCATGTGTCAGAACAGATAGGGGCAGATAGAAACAGAGAAGTGCTGCCTGTGTTCTGAAAGCCAAAAACCATATGTGCCTGCGTGGCTACATGGAACAGCTCTACTGGTAGTCAGAGATGGCTCACACAGGAGAGGCACTATAATAAACCCTTCCTAATTATTACATGAGCTCGTTAAATCCTTATCAGTCTCTGAAGCTGCGGTGACAACATGGGAGTGCACTGAGTTCAGGACTGGCAGGGATGTTGTGCAAAGAAGTGGCCAGTGCACCCATTAAAGCCCTCAGAGCCATTGGTAATCTTCTGTTCATCCTTAAAATTAATGCAGAGAGAATATTTTTTAAAGCATTAAAATGTGTATGAGACACAGCTGGAGCTCAGCTTTCCATGATGCCTGTGTAAATAGTTACTTTAGCCCAAGTGGGAAAACTACATGTCACCAGGGAAAATACTGTGACCAGCCTGAGCTGGGGTTTTATTGTACTTGAGTGTGATTTCCTTGGTTTGAGGATCATCAAAAAGGGAAATATGTTCAGGTTTGGACTTGTGGAAATAAAAAGCAGACTTCAGCAGTCAGATGCCCACTGTCTTCTCCCTCAAGCACTATAGCATAAGAATATTATTGAAATGATAAAAAAACATCATCTTGCACACTTTAATTTACCATCTTTTTGTTCCTTCAGTCCCTGCCTTCATTCTTTTCCTTTTATAACTAGTGCACACATGAGAAAATATTTGTAGTTCCTAATAAAACAGGTCATTTTAGTCCAGCCTGGGAATTTCTTTGATCTTGATCCCCAAAATTTCATCTTGTCCTTCACAAGTTCAGCTGCTCTGCTAAACACCCTGTCCCAGGTTAGAGAAAGCCATGAAGACTGGAGTAAAAGCAAAATTTCTTCAGGTTGTCTATTGAAAATCCCTTTATCTCAGCAGGACTGCAAAGGTATTATTTTTATAAGCATCTGCTGTTTTGGTTTTTTGATGGTTTTGTTGTGGGTTTTTTCTAGTTCAGAAGTTCTCTTATATGTTTAATAAGCCCACCCAAGCTCAATTAAGAATTCTCTTCACTGCTTTCATCAACCAGTTGATCCTTCTAAATATGAAACTCCAGTAACAGCAGTTAGTGACAGAATATCACAGTAAGTGTGAGAGAAGTTTCTGTGTGTGAGGTGTTTAATTGAGTAGTAAATCTTTTTCTAATTACATTAGTTTTACTCTGTGAGGCTTCATCCACATCCTAAGAATGGTTTAGTGCATTGACTCCAATCTACCTCTGAGAAAGAAATCTCACAAAACATTCACAACCATGGCCAGTGGGAGGCTCCAAGGGGACAATATGCAGGGTCAGAAATCCCTTTGGATTGGCAAAACTTGAAATCAGCTCTTCCTGAGGAAGATGGGTGACTTTCAATCTACAAAAAAAAAAATAAATAAAAAAAATAAAGTTTAAGTTTCACCTCTCAGAAGCAGAAGGTACTTTAAGGTTTAGCATCACTATAGTGACCTACTAAGCCCCGCATCAGCTTTGAAAAGGTGGTTCTTTTTGCTGCTATGGGGTTTTTAAGGGAGTTAGCCAGGGTTTCGGATCAGTTCCCCTTCTTCCCAGCACTGCCTCCAACAAGGCCCAATCTTTAAACGTTAGTTTCTGTTTCTAGCTGCCCACCTCATTTTTCGTGACCTCTCACAGGCCCTGTATCAATGGGCTCCAAGGTCCAGTTGTGCACATCCACTGAAGCACCCAGCCCTCATGTCATCCCATGCCTGGACCTGTCTATTCACGCAGCCTTTTTCCTTAGGAGCTGTTCTCCATTGCAGAGCTCAGTGCTTGCAGCCAGAAGAAAGGCAAAGATTGCACTGTCACCCCAGAGTTGCCACAGGCTTGTGTGACTGTGGCTTCCTGCACAAGGACAGGTACAAAATGTTCTGTGCTTCTCGTTGCTTTACGATTTAGCCAAATACAGGTATATTCCCACACAGGTATGGAAAAGCACAGCCTTAACAGAGAAGGTATTTTTTTACTGCCAGAGTTGTTCTGTCAACAGTGCAGCACCCCAGACAGGTATGATGTCAGTACTGAGGAGTTGGAGAACAATTTACCTGATTATTTCAGGTTTGTGTCTTAGGCCTGGTTTTCTCAGGAGCCAGTCTGTCTGTTTGCAGTTGAAGTTGGAGACTTCAATAGCCTTCACTGTTTCCACATCCACCAGCTCTTCCTTAGCCTAGAAACACTACAGAATCAGACTACCTACTTTTTTTTTTTTTTTTAATGCAAAAAAAAATACCTGCACAAAGACTTCAGTGGTAAAAATTATCATGACTGGGGTCCTCTTGTGCTGTGCCATTAGTGCAGTACATGAACAGTGGGGCTCTGGTCAGACTCAAGCTCTCACATCTTGTGTCATCATACAGGTAAACAGCAGCATTATTTAAGATGAACAACTACTAATATTTCAGTAGAATATGACTATTTTGAAATATTATCCCCAGGCAGACCTTCTTCTTATAGATAAAAGAGATTATTTTAGGATAATTCCTCAGCTAACAAAATAATAATCCCATAATTAAAAGCTCATCATTTGGAACAATGCAGCTTGACAAGGAGCTGTTCTGGGATAGCTAGGGCGGGATGGATACCTGATCATCAACACTCATTAATTTCCCAAGGGAGATGTACCATTCAGCAGTGGCATTATAGTATAAGCAGAGCTGTGTTCCACCACCACTGCCTATTTTCTTTCACACTAATGAACAATAAAACAGCCAGACAGCCCTAATTAGACTGGCACCTCCAGCAGAACAGAAACGGGAGAAAATAATCTACTACCAGCCTTCAAGGGCAGAAAATATCCCTCTTCCAAAGCAGAAATCATTTTTATTTGAAGTTTCTGTCATAAGTAAGAGCCTGAAATGCCCAGTTTTCTCCTTCAGTTGAACAATAAAAATGTACCTTACTTCTCATCTGACAGAAGGAAAAAGCATCACTGAATTCTTCTGACTCTGGTCGATGGCAAGTTGAATATGAGTCAGCAGTGCCCTGGCAGCCAGGAGGGCCAACCATGTGCTGGGGGCATCAGGCAAAGCATCGCCAGCCAGTTGAGGGAGGGGATTGTCCCCTTCTGCTCTGCACTGGTGTGACCTCACCTTGAATACTGTGTGCAGAAAGATATTAAGCTATTAGGGAACATCCAAAGGAGGGCAACAAAGATGGTGAAGGACCTTGAGGGGAAGCCGTATGAGGAGCATCTGAGGGCACTTGGTGTGTTCAGCTGGAGAAGAGGAGACTGAAGGGAGACCTCCTTGCAGTTACAACTTCCTTGTGAGAGGAACAGAATGGGCAGTGACAGGACCTCAGAGAATGACCTGAAGTTGTGTCAGGGGAGGTTTAGGTTAGACATTAGAAAAAGGTTCTTCACCCAGAGGGTGGATACTGGTGGGGCACTGGAACAGGCTCCCCACAGAAGTGGTCACAGCACCAAGCCTGACAGGTTCAAGAAGAGTTTGGACAATACTGTTGGGCACATGGTATGTGACTCTTGGGGATGGTCCTGTGCAGGGCCAGGAGTTGGACTCAATGATCCTTGTGGGTCCCTTCCAGCTCAGCATGTGCTGTGATTCTTCTTTTGACCAGTCCTCAGATTAGCTCAGATGGTTAGAGCCTGGTGCTAATAATGCCAAGGTTGAGGGTTTGACCTCTATATAGGCCATTCATTTAAGAGTTAAACTCAGTGATCCTTGTGGGTCCCTTCTAATGCAGAATATCCTGTGATTCTGTACCTGGCTGTGCTAGCACATGGTGAGGGTGGAGGGGAAAGGAAGCTCAAACCATCAACCAAGCAGGAATTTGAGCTTGCACCCAAGCCCTGCCCCCCACGCAGCCTGTGCTTGTGCCTTTGTTGCACAGAGAGCTTTAGCAAAGGACTTTGGCCAAGTTCCACTGCTTTCTAGAGCAGGAAATTTGGGTTCTCTGGGCACATTGGCACAGGCGTGTTGGCTTTCCTGGGGCCTGGACAGCTCAGGTGCAACTAGAGATGAGCATGACTACAACTAAAGCCACCAAAAAATGCTCAGAGAGTGGAATGGGGACTGAAGTGACAGCACGTCAGCTCAAGGCACTGCAGGGTACACACACTGTCAAAGATTTCCTCTTGCCATGCCCAGCCAGCCAGTTTAGTAAGCAGTAGACATAAAAATACGTAAATTTTGGCAAGGTGGCACAAAAAAGGAAGCTAAGAGAAATCAGCAGTCTGAAATACTTTATATTGGAAATTCTCTCAGAACAGTTCCCAAAGTGGAAAGTTTAAAGTTTTCAGGCTGTTATTGCAAACTAGCAAGAATTTTTCAGCCTGTCAGTGAATGTACCTCCCACATATCCAGAAAATCTGTATTGCTGGGAATGATCATGCCATTTCCATCTGCAGGAAATGGCTCCTCTCCTGCCTCTCATCACAAAAGAAAAGTGAGTTTAAGATAGGCAGAATTGTAAGTAGTTAAGGAAATCACTTAGAAATTGAGCGAGCGAGTGGAGCTTGAGACACGCTGGATATCCTGATTCATGTTTGTGTTGGGGTGAGATGTGGCCAAAACCCTTAATCTGTACCAACAGAGTAATCTTCAAGAAAATCTGCCTTTTGAGAATCTGTCCTGCAGGCAGAGGAAGGGCAGACAGTTTTGTGTGCCTCAGTCAGGCTGGGGGAAGGCCAGAGATATGACACAATAGGGAAACAAGGATTTATTTAAGCTGGGGGCACAGAGAGAAGAGAAAAATAGGAACTAAATAATTCACAACTGTTTGATCTGGATAAGCAAATGACAGCTGAACCCCACATTTTAAGATGAATGTGATCTGGATGGTAATTTGATGCATGACATGGAAATGGTGAACAGGGTAAAATAAGGTGATTTTTGTACTACAAGGCCTAGTTTAAGCACCTTTCTTCCTGGTCACTCAGTGCAGAGGTTTATCATTATGTCCCATTGTGTCCTAATGAGGTTTAATGACACTCCTCATTAGAAAGGACTAAAGGCACATCTGGTCCCAAAGGCAAAAGGGGCAGAGCTCTGACAGATGGCTCCCAGGAATTAAAGTCACAATACCTTGGATCCCATGGGCCAGTGCATCAGGTAGAGATCCAAATAATCCAGCTGGAGGGCAGCAAGTGTTTTCTGGCATGCCTCCTTCACCAAGGATCTCTTATGGAAGGTGAACAACAGCTGTGGGGGTAATGCAAATCCTGGGAACTGCTCTCCTGCCCTCACTGTGGATGAGCATCCCTGGCAGGGAAACATGCAGCACAGGCACAGAGAGAGTATGGCAAAGCTTCTCATCTTGAGGGAGTGCCACTTTTGTGCACCTTATTTTATTTCAGTACTGTCAACTAAATAAAATGAGAATGGGATACTCTAACATTCCAACAATTATTGCAACAATTAAAACAAAGAAAAAAAAGTGAACCTGGTGAAAATCAATCTACCAGGTTCCAGCAGATAGAAGTTACTTTATTTTTCTTACCATTGTTGTTGGGGGGAAAAAACAAAACAAAGCATAACATACAGGAGTTAACAGGCTGAGGCCAACAGCACAGCAGGAGTGACCACGAATACAATAGCTCTGTTTCCTATCTTGGAGGCAACCTAGAGCACGGCCTCAGTTCCTGTCTCCATGGCTGACAATGGACATGGACTATAAAAAAAAAAATCACTCTCAAATCAAGCCTTTTGTTTTTCAAGGGCTGACCTATTCCATCCCCCCCAACCACAAATTGCTTTGCCGTGAGAGAGAGGAGTTAATTCCCAGAGCATCTTCATCCCCTGACACTTTGCAGGCTGGGACCTTGTGTCTCGTTCTGAGAGCTGGCTTCATGTGAGACATGTTATCCAAGGACATACCTTACCGACAATAAAGAGGCCTTCTTGCCTCACAACCCCCTCCTCAGTTTTTTCTCACAGTGCATCTCCGCTCTGACTCCCATTCCGGTACACGCAGGCACAATCCGAGTGGCAGTACCCAGCATCGATGGCAAACTCCACTGCAACTCTCACTGTTCCTTGGAGAGACTGAAACCAGAAGAGAAGTCAGTAATTTGGTAAATATCAGATTAAGAAGTTTGCTCTTCTCCAAATCTGGAGACTTTAAACCCTCAGCTGATGAGGTGTTCCAGTCTGGACCTTGCTTTCATTAGTTTTCTGAAATAAGATGGTGAAGGGAGTCACTGACAAGTTGCCTGAGCTGATCTGCCCTTTTCTAAGGATTGAGCGTTCACTTTCAGACTCTAGGCTATCTTGAAATAAGTTCTTATTTTCCCCGAAATTAATGGCAATTTGAGTGGTGACATGAGGAAACGAATCACCTCTGGAACGTGTGCTGGCCCTGCACACAAACAATCCCTCTCTTGTTGGCACAGGACAGGGAGGTGAGAGGATGCAAAACACTACAGACAGTGCCACCTCCTGGGTAAAATACACAGCCATGCTACTTAATAACAAAGTAAATCACTTCAGATTCTTGGCTTGGAGACACCAAAGAGTTGTTTGATGGCTGAATCCAGAAAATGGCACTCCAAACAGAACCATGATTCAAAATTATGACCACCTCCTGCATTTAAACTTCATTACAACCCCACCTTTTTTTTTTTATGATTTCACTTCTCCAAGTTTTTCCAATCAAAGGGTGTTTGGTTGGTTCACTTAAATGAACAACAACAAAAAAACCACATAGAAAATGCAGCAATTTTTTCCCCCCAGGGCTGCACACAACCAAATAGCCAGTTTTAAAGTTTTACAAGTCTTCCTTTTTGCAGCCCCTTTCCCCATCCCACCCCTTCCTCCTTGTGAATGCTGCAGCTCCCAGGGTGGCATGGGGAAGCAGGCTAATGGTGGCCAAATCCTAGGCATTATGTAGCTTGGGAAAACTGCCATGCAGGAGTGATCGGCATTGCTTTTGAGTGGAAGAGTTGGTGGAGAGCAAAGGAAACAACATACTCTGTGGTTACATAAAATTCTGTAATACTACACTTGTGTATCCTGGAGCAGCCACTGGGGCATTTTCTGTATTTAGCTACTTTTTGGAAGCCAAACAGCTTAGGGTGTCTCGTCACTTGACACCACGTTACTGTTACTTTATGGCCCTTTCTGAATGCATGCTGTCCTACATTAGATTTTTTTACAGTTCACAACTATAAAACCTCTTCTGCCTAAACTGAAAAACCCAGTTTTATAAGGCTTAGTAGGAACAGCAGCGTATTCCGGGAAATCCAAACTCTTTACACAGAGTGGGTTTGACCCCAGCTTGGATGCTCCTGGGTCCTGCAGAAGGAGCTGGTTTCAGATGTACCTGGTTTCAGAGCCCTGCCCAGAATTTTGCAGGAGTTCATTTTAAAGATATGGGTGATAGGATATGATAGGATATTGTTTATCTAGCCATTAATGGACCTTTTCTTCCCTGTCCTATCTTTACCTGTTTACAGACAAAACCAGCCCCAGGGTAAAAACATGTTTCAATCAGCAGCACCCCATATGCCTAGTGACCCACAGCAGGTCACTTAGTTCAGGCACTTTTACTGTGTGCAGACCCTGCACGCAGAATATGCTCAACCTGAACGCAGAAACCTGTTGGTTTGAAGCTAACACAGATAAAAATCAACAAAACCTAAGAGGCCACGAGGCTGGGCATGAGCACAGTCAGCACCCCCATGGCAGAGCCCCAAAGAGCCCCAGTGGGCATCAGTCAGGTGGACAAGGGTCCACCCTGCTGCTCCCTACAACAGGTCCCTAGAGGTACCAAACTCTTGTCCTCCAGCACCAAATTTCCTTTAGGGTTTTGTACCTTTGCATGTTGAGCAGTTTTTCACTTGTTTCCTCAAGTCATTGCTTGTGTCTGCCTCAACCAGTAGCCTGGCCTCCCTATACCTCAGACCTCCTCATTTCCCCATCCTACAGGCTGGCAGCTGAAGCCAGAGCTGGCCAAGGATTTGGACTGAGGTGGGCAGATCACTGCAGCTTTAGGACAAGCCAAAGGAGAACCCTTTTAATTTTATTTCTGAGGTCAAAAAAGTCAGGCCTGTCTGCCTAAATTCTGCAAGGAAAGCAAGGTTTAACCAGCAGCTGTACTGCTCAGGGCTGCTACGTGGAGATTTCATTCACTTACGTGGGTTTTCTCCTTATCTGTGAGAAAAATGGATTACGTAGAGGAGAGGCATGATGACTGTGACTCTATGAATCGTCCATTTGATGTCCTGGTCACAGAGGCTGCCAACATACCTGTACAGGTGGTCTGCAACCAAGGACAGGAAGAAATTCCCTTCAGCTCAGTGCAGAAAGTGATGTAGATTAACAACAGGCTGCCCTCCCAGCTGTTGTGCCTGTGTCCTTTAGCGGTGTGTAGCCACCGCCCTAATGGGAGGGACTTTCTCGACCTCAGCTCTGCCCCATCACAAAGGCACACACGGAGAGCATTATCCCATTCCCTGCTCTGGCAGTCCCTCACACAGCAAAGCATTTTCATACATAATCAAACTGCATCCCATGGGCTGCCAAATTTTCAGTCATGAGTCTATTTAAGAAAACAGTCAGTAGCACAAAGCACTTCTTAAGCCTTCGTGAAGGTCTTCATTCACATTGTAAGTCCTCATTCAGTTTTTCGCTGCACTTACAACTTTTTTTCTTTAAATCAAGTAGATTTAGCTCAGAAGCATTTCTCTTCCAGTGTTTTTACTTCATATAGATCAGAAATTTTTGTTACCTATAAAGGTCTCTAAAGGGTTGGTGATTCTTGGGCACCTTTCCACAGACAGGTGCAAACAGCGTTGAGCCTCCCAACTTGAAGCTGGTGAAATATGAGGCAGCCACACGGGAGATAGCAGAGTCAGAACTAAACAGCTCTCTTGTAAAAACAAATTGCTCCATAAAATACCTTTGAAAGGTTGTTTGAGGTTTCTGTTTGCACTTGTTAGGCAAGTGCTGCTTTCTGCTCACAGCTTCAAGCCTAAGCTGTGTTAGAGAAGAAACACCATATGGATGTTACTGGCAAAGATGATTTGGGCTTGTCATCACCAAAATGTCCCTGGGAGAGGTATGGCCTGTGTCAAGGCAGGACCAGAAACCTGGCTCTAAGGAGAGGAGACCAGTAAGACAAAAGTGCCCAAAAGGCAGTGATATAGGAAATGCCAGGGCCAGCAAAGGGCCAGCGCTCTCTGGATGCCAGAAAAGCAAAAGTAAAGCTGTCCCCAGGTGAAAAACAGGTAGAAACTGCCACTGAGAGAATCTGCTTATCAGATCTGTTATCTGGTCTCTAGAGGAAGAAGTTCCCTTGACAGTCGTTCAGTGCAGGAGTATCATCACAAGATTTACTGTTGGGGTTTATCAGACACAATAGATTATTGTGATCCACAAAATTATCTGTAAAGGTATTATCAATTAAAATTACTAGTAATGCCAAGTCCTAATAAGTTTTACATTTTCCATTGTAGTTTAGAGTAGTTTACAGTTTTATCAACCCATGTTTTTTAATCTGTGTTAGAATGTGCTTTTTTTGGAGGTATTTTATAAATGTAGATCTCATGTGCAGCTTTTTTGTGTAAATACCAATGAAAACTAGTTGGTAAATGACCCTTGTAAACTAAAATGATACTGGAAGTAAAGTATCAAAAATTATTTTTTTACTTTTACTTTCATGTATAATTTTTGGTATTTACAAGATATTGACATTTTAGAAATTAGACGTGTGAGATGTATAATTGTTATATAGATTTACATTTTTTCTGGTTTTCTCTGTGTTTCTTGAAGGTGAAGAATATCTCAATCTGAAGAAGTGTCTGTCAGAGGTGAAGCAGAGAATGTGTAATTTGCTATTGCTCCTTCTCTTAAGCCTTGGTAATCCTAAACCAAACAAAAAGTGGAAATAAGGAGTTACCAAGACCTATACAATAATCTCTCCACACAGATACTCTTGGCTTTATCTGGTTTTTCAAAGTCCTTGCTATCCGTGCCGGGCTTCATTTGCACAGTGACTCAAACAGGACTAATAATACTGGTAATACTACTACTACCACTACTACTAATAATAATCTTGACTCTTGTGTGGTGGCTCTGTGGTGGAGATTTTTTTCTGGCAGAAATGCAGGAGCTGTTTCCTGTAGCCACCCCAAGGCAAGGACTCTACATTAGCACTGATCTCCATGTTATGCCTGTACAGTACTGAATCCCAGACACTTTGCTGAAAGGGGGTTTCCTTAGATGTAAGTAAACTCCTAGGGCAGTTTATCCAGTATGCAGCTGAGCTTTGCTGTGGACACAGAGGCAGTCAGGGCGACTTTTTGCAAAAGCAGCTCAGGCCAGGCAGAGTTTTTGAAACTGAGTTTTTAAACTGCCATGCAGTTTGCACACCCTCCCGCTCCTCCCATGGCCCATCTGCATCTGGAAGCAATATAAGCTTGACAGCAAATCTGAAAACATGACAGTAAATCTAAAAACAAACCCATTGTGTCTCCAGCACAAGGGTGAAGTGACCAGGTTTAGCTGCTTTTCCTTGGTTCTTGGAGCTAAATATTAGCAGCAGCTCTACCCCAAATACTCAATCTGAGCATTCACCTCTGTGCATGTGCCATGTGGCCTCCCACCTGCATTTACGGTGTTTAGGAACAACAGACCAAGAATAAACCACAAGACCCATTTTCTAGGGAATTTATCACGTAGTATTTTATTCAAAAAACACTTACTACTTTTCATTGAGAGTAATATTTTTTCACTGACTGGAAAGATTCTTAATGTATCTCTGCAATTGCTTCCTTGATGGGTAACATCCCTGGAAGGTTATGACACATTTAAGGCATTTTTCATAAGCATAAGTTTTCAAATTTCAAGTTATATCTAACTAGAAATGTCTTGTCAGTCTCTTAACCCATTAATTTCCCAGTTTCTGGAAGTGCATTGTTTTTCTGCTCCTTCACTTCGGCAAAGTGCAGGACAAAGCAAACAGGAACTTGGTTTTCTTACTCATCCATTGCAAGGTGCTTTAGAAAGATTGAAACACATTCTTGTATGTGAATAGAGTGAAAATTCCTCATCCTGGTGACAAACAACACACCGGGATATTTTAACGAAGAAGGAGCAGTATAAATAAAAGAGAGTTGAGCAGAATAACGGACCTTGCTATACAGCAAAATAAATACCTGCTACACTATGAAAGTGTAATTTCATAGCTATGCTCCATAATTTCTCAATTTACCTTCCACATACCAACAGAAAACAGACATGATTTGTGAACTTCATCATCACTATCAAAATATAATTATTTTGATAGCTGCTATTAAATCTACATTAGGAATTTTAAAATGTGCTCAGTCCCGCAAAAATAGCACCTTTGTAAAGATACAGTCAAACTGCTGGAATCCTCGATCCCTTCACAGGATGTGGTACAACAAGACTTAATGCCACCAGGGCATTAAAAGCATCACAATCAAAGTTTTTGACTTTCCTCACAATGGAGCCTTGTGATGAGCCTTCAGAACACTCTTCTTCACGCTGTCACATGTGACCAACCTTCCTTTCTAGCTCTCTTTACATTTTCCCTCTGTGTGGTCTTGCCACGGGAGTACAGGTGGAACCAACAGCACAGAGTAACGGGACTCAACAGGAGATTTAAAAATTACCCACTTTCTTTATACAATTGTTCTCTCTAGAACATTTTCTGCTTGAGGGACATTCCCACCTCAAGGGCAGAAAGGGAAAGAAGAGGGCAAGACAATTCCAGCTGGCAACCAGGTGAAGAATACTTAAGGAAAATCCCAAAAGTTCAAGCACAGCAAGGCATCTTACTTCCCCTATCACAGTGTATTGCCCTGCATCGTGCAAAATCACTAATTAGCTTCAGAATCTCTGTTACTCTGAATATTTCCCTCTCTACAGGAAAGAAAATGTGTATAAACACCTGATAAGTGTGTTAAAACAATAATCACCTGCACAAATATATATGAATCACCTGCATAAATATATATATATATATTCATCTTGTAAATCAGAACTGCTGCAAAAGCTCCTGATTTAAAACACCTCATTGTGCTGATGCCAACTTTCAAATACATCTCAGCCCCTGTAGTGACTCATTTTCAGGGAGGTTTTAAGGAGTAAGAGTCACTGGCATGTGGCATAAAGGTTTTGATCCTTCCTGCAGATGTTTCTGGTGATTTCTGGGGTCTCCTGCCTAGCTTGCCAGCATCTCACATGGTGCTAAAAGGGCAAAGTCTCAAGCTCTTACTGGTCAGGTATGGCTATCAGTGCTCCCCAGTCATACCACACACCTCTCTGGAATATCACACAGGTTTTCAGGCCAAACACTTCCCCTGTATGGGAATTTAGGCATCAGCATTAAGGAAAATGCTAAGTCAGCAGAGACAAGGACTAACTCATTATCTTTTAAAGATGAAAAGAATATGTAGAATCACATAAATATAAAAAATATATGAAAGAAAAAGTTTTAGTTGCAACAGTTCTTAGATCCTTCTTCTAGCTGAGTGTTTTTCATAAATAAATGTGAACATAGAGGTTGCTGAGTGCAAAATGTCTTTCTTATGGAACATTTGTGCATGTCCGCTCTTGCACAGAGGTGCTGAGCTCCATGGACAACTCACAGCTTTCCCAGACACTCTGATAGTCCTGGATAGGGCTGCTGAGGATGTTTTTTCATGTAAATCAAAAGATAGGCCGTTTCTCCCCTGTAGAGGCAAAGAAAAAGCAAAATGCGATGTATATGTTTGAAGATCTAGGTTGCAAGTCACCTCCCAGGTTTGCTCCTGCCCAGCTTTTTGTGGTTTGGATCAACTAAGCTGACCTTTTCCAGTGTTCCTGAGAGAGCATATAAAGCTGACTCCCTGTCAGCACTTTAGCTTATAGGAGGGATTATCTCCCTCTTATAATATCCCCCTCTCATAAGCTATTTTCTTATGATGCATCAAAAGAAAAAGCATGGAAAAATCCCGACTGACGTATCTAACTGCAGCCAGCCCCACTTGTGACTACTCAGTAACCCTAGAGGCTCCCAGTATAGTCATATGCAGTCCCATCAGAGCAACCAGAATACAAGGATGCCTCTTCTGCTCTCCTGCATCCCCACTACATCCCAGGCAATATGCAATTCAAACCATTTATCTTCCCTCTCTTTGCTACCCTCATTCCAAAGTCCAGAGCAGCATTAGGTAAAAACAGAGATATGTTTGCATACCAGTGGAGGTTGGAATGTCCATAGGTGCATTTAACATCATCCCATGATACCTAGAGAAGAAAAACACACAAGAGGAGGCTGGTAAAAACTCTTAGGAGATGGACACGTTGTGATACCAGTGCACCAGTTCTCAGAGTGGTGTAAGTGGCACTTCCAGGAACTAAGCACCTTTTAATAAATTGGTTTATTGCTTTACAAGGGAAAACAGTTCCTTTTCTAACACAGTAGAGTACATAAAGTAGGGGTATACATCAAATGGCTGCTTTTGCAAGTCACAAAGCAGAAACTGAGGCCTTGTTTGGTGCAGAAGCAAGAGCCTGCAGCAGAGGTGCACAAAGCTCTGCAGCTTCAGTTTCTTTTCCTGGTTCTCTTTAATTAGCAGTCAGTCAGACTGAGCAAGATCTGGAGGAGAGGTCGGGAAAGTACAAAAAGAAACGTGGATTGATCTCCTCACCTGGCAAACCTGAGAATCATTAAAGCAATACCATTTACGCTCTGTGAGGCTTTGAATGTAGGCACAGTAATGTCCACAACTAGCTGATCCTGAATGAGCAACGACAGCAAAAAGGTCATACTGCCAGGTAGCCTGCAAAGAGACACAAAGAGTAACTTTTAGTGCAGTAATTCTCATTTGCCATTGACTGAAGAGAAGCAGCATCCAGGACAACAAGGATGTGGATTTTGCAAGGAGAAAGGAAGAAGAGCAGATTAGCCTTGAGGATCCTGCCTTTTTTGCTCTTACCCTCATAGTTTAGCCTGCCAGCTATGGGCTGGCAGCCTCCCTGGAGATCACAGGAATGTGAAAAAGGTAGAAGAATAGCAAAGGAGTTACACTACAGACAACACCATACTGGTGACTTTTGCTATTGCCATGTTTCCCCTTCTTATTTCACAGTAAGGGGGACAGATCCACGGTAGGGCAGAACACTCTCAGCTGCTTGGCAAAGCTGTTTCCTTGCTAAGCTCAACTCTGTGGCCAACAACACTGCATGGGAAATACCAGGAATGGAGTTCCCCTGCCTTGGACTGGTGAGATATGTAAAGCCTGTTTTTTGTCCTTATGGCAGGAAGCTCCAGTTATTGTGCCTTTGGTGATTTACTCTGAGCACAGAATGCTGAATAATGACTGAACCAGTTAAAACCAGACCCAGGTGAAAGATGTCTGAGACACAGAGTTTTAAGACAGGTACTTTGAAATCAGGTAAGTACTGGTGTGATCTCTTAAAATTTTATGAGACTTGAGCAGAGAGGAGAAGAAAATCTCTTTTTTAGACAGCCTTAGGAGTATCTCACCTTTTCATTGTCATCTGCGTGGCACTGATTTTCTGTCAAGACTCCATTGAAATCAAGGTCCCGTGGGAATGGGAGATAGTGACTGAGCTTGTGCGTGTAGGATGATTTTTCGAAGCAGAAGCGCTTTAGGTGTATGGTCAGAGTCTGTGGCAGATAGACGAGCTTCATGCTCTGTAAAACAATAAATAGTGTGTTTGAAAACTAAGGAATAAACCCTGGGGAGGTAGGCTGGAAACAGCCATTGCCACCCAGTGCATATAGCATGGAGAACAGCCAGTGCTATAAGTGAATGGCTGCCAATTGCACCACACAGCAGATGCCAAACCTTTGTAGCCCATTTGCACACAAGACACATAATGGAGCTGTGATAACCAAGTTTCTCAGCTTCAGTGTGATCAGCACTCAGCCTAGGGTGTGTCAAGGGTTGCTTCATTTCTCATCTGCTTTCCTAACCCTAGATTGGTAGCACTAGGTAGGGTGAGGAGAGGCAAGCCAACTTTTTTGTGACATGTGACCACTGGAGCTCTGTGAAGGATGTCAAGCTGACAGCTCATTTCTTCCAGCACTGCCTGTTGCTGCCATGGCTGTCACTAAGACACATGGATTCATTGTGGCCTCAGAGGCAGCCCAACAGTGAAAATGTTGTGGGAAGTTCCCTCCAAGCCTTGTGCTAAGGGATTCTCCCTCATGCTGCTCTCTTTAATGCACTTGCCTCTTCATGAAACAGCTAATTCATCATCTGGCACAGACTGATACTGTGAAAAATAGGGAGCCCAGTGGAGAGCAGGGAAGAAAGGAAATCATCCTGCAGTATCCTACTTTTAGGTGTATGCACAGTTCAAGTAACATATTTTTGTCCACCTCTGCAGCTACGCAGCAGTGTAAAGGCCCACAGTGCACACACAGAATAAACCAACAGAAGCTCCTCTTCTCAGCGACTTAGAGTAAAACTCATGAAATCCTTTGTAGCAAGAGCTACAACTACAGCAGGGAACTTCCTAACAGGAGGAAAGATGCATGTGGTTTATACCTTGCTGATACTTCTGTGCTGACAAATCTGAGTTGTTGATCTCCTCTTAAACTTATATGGTTGAGTCCTTTCCCCACCCTTCCCAGTCCTAAAGGAATTTCTCTGTGTGAGAGACTTATGGGAAAATAATTCTCTGATTACCTTCAAGAAAGGTGTTTTCATTCCACATTGTTGACAGAAACACATGTTTTGACCAGTCAGCTCTTCTGGATGGAAAAAGTACTGTAAACAGTCCTCCTATGAAGACAGAGGAGATTTCTTTCAACTGAATTCCTTCAAACTGGGTTTCTATTTCTACTTTATTTCACAGAGTACAAACAAATAACAAAACTACAGAAGGCATATTTTATTCAAAGGACAAAAGACTGCCTAGCAGCCTAAAAAAAGGTACCCCATTTTTCCTAGCTGCTATTGTGATTGCACTAGTTGGGAAAAAAAATGGAGTACCACATTTTTCGCAAAGAAGATGTTGATGCACACGTGTCTTTTATACCTACTTCAAAGCTTTAGAGGTTTTCAAAGAGCAATGATGAAAAAGTATAAAGGGGTCAGGTGGTCCAATGGTGAACTGGTACCTCAAAAATCCACTATATTTGTGGCAGCACCGACACAGTCACCAGCACTGCTCTATCTGCAGCACTGATTCAACAGTGAAAGACCACTGCACTGGACAAACACAGTGTGTCTGGCCAGGGATTCCAAGTCAGCTAGGGCACCTCACTGTGGTATCTAAGGTCTCACAGGTAGACATCACTGCATAGTTTGAGTCTTTGAGTCTGTTACAGAGTATTTAGCCAACACTCTTTTTAGAAAGGTGATTCAAGGACTTTATTTTCCAGCCCCTAAATCAAACAAATTTTTTGAGACCTCTAAAACTCTTCCAAACAAATGAGAAATGTGAAGGAGGAAAGACCACCCCCTGGTGGTCCCAAACGCTCTACAGAAATCTTGCAGAGATTCTAGATGCGACACAGGAGACACCAGTGCTGCAAGGAGATGGCTCCCACAGTGACAGAGGGGAATCTTTCTCCTAAGGGAACAGTGTTGCCACTAAACTTACCAGAGTCTTCAGCCTGTGAGAATTGGAATCCAACACTGGCAGTGGAAGAGTTAACATGCAGCTGTTGTTCTTTATTTCAAAAGAGCAATTCTGACAGGCCAGATGCTCCTGTACGCAGATAGTGTACAAATCACTCAGCTCTTCAACCTGGAGGGACAAAAAAAGGCCAAAACAAGGTTTATGAAGATGACAGACGATGTACTTTCTTGTGGGTGGAAAAATCCACGTGCACATGTTATTTCAAGCCAGGTTACTGCTTTAATGTTCAAACCAAGATCTAACACTGACTTATGTGGACAGGCCACTTCCCACAATTTAAAGGAGGACAATTCCTTCCCCTCATCCCCTCTCAGAGGGGAAAGACACAGCCTATAACAAGATCAGAACAGTTAAATGTCTGCTTTGATGCAGAATTGTACTGTTTTGTTTGAAACTGCAAAAGAAGCCTGTCTTCTGTATGAATAAAACTATGACTGAGTCAAGGAAGAATCACTTTTCTCTTCCCAGTCTGGTAGAAGAAACCTACCTATATAACATACTAACAGTGACTAATTAGAAAGAAATGCACATGGCTGACTTCAAAAAATGGGAAAGTTGTGTCAAGGCATGCCAATAAATGCTTACAGAAATTTGGGGGGAAAAAATGAAAGAAAACTAAATTTGGTGTTGCAAAAAGATCAATTTTTTACTTATTAATCAACTCTCCCGTTAGAACAGAGACTCTGGCATGCCCTAAGAGTAGGAAGAACAAAAATTAACTGTAATTCAAAATGTTGTAGGTTATGAGATCAAGACTTCTTCTCCCATTTGAAAGATGTGAGGAAAGACCCAAACAGGGGATGGATAATTTTAAGAATTTAACTTAAGACAATTGTCAGTGAACGGGATCCTTCTCCAAGGAGCAGAGGAAACAACACATGATAAGGGCCAAAAAACCTGGTGTTCATTTCAGTTACCATCCTTACCAGCTCTAGCTTTTTCATCTGCTTCTTTATCAAGTTCCAGAGACGCAGAAACAGCTGAGCAGCATCATGCTGCACAAACACTGGACAAAGAGAAAACACAACCCCAATAAGTACTGTGAACAGCACCAAGCACAAACTTCCCACAGAGGGCAAAGGGAGAGTTATTGTCCCCCATTAGATCCAGTTTCTTGTCCCTTGCCACTCCCTGCCAGGGACAGAACTTAGACTGGACAAGAGCTGCAATCTCTCTGTGTGACCTGAACAGGCAGTGGGAAAAGATAAGAGGGCTTGCACCACCCAGTGCTAAAGTTGTGTACTTGACACCAGGTGCAGGGCCAAGAGTACACCAAATACCTACCAGAAAACAGGGCTCAGATGTCTCACTGATTTGAGAACTGTATTTCATAGCATCACAGAATGGTTTGGGTTGGAAGAGACTTAAAGGACATCTCTTTCCAACCCCCCTGCCATGGACAAGGACATCTTCCACTAGAACAGGTTGCTCAGAGCATTTTCCAACCTGGCCTTGAACACTTCCAGGCATGGCGTATCCACAACTTCTCTGGGCAAACTGTGCCAGTGTCTCACTACCCTCAGAGTAAAGAGGCTCTTCCTAATATCAAATCTAAACCCAACTTCTTTCAGTTTAAAGCAATCACCTCTTGTCCTATCACTACATGTCCTTGCAAAAAGTTCCTTTTGAATCCTGCTTAGAAACAATAAAGAGAAGATTCTGTTCTCCTTTTCACCTTTATTACACCACAGACCTTTTTTCCCCCATCCCCTAGTGAAGGTTATAATTCTCCTGAGTGCTGAGATAAAATTATGTCTCACACACCAAATAGTATAAACCCTCTTGATCCCTATCCAGCACATGGTTTCAGCACAGGAAGCCAAGTATGATGAAGTGACATTATGCTTTGTCTTTCCGCTCTAGCTAAATTGGCATATTAGGAAACCTAAAGTGGTGGGATACAGCTCAATGAATGAGCTTGCTTAGAATGGCTCAGCAGGGAATTGCTTCAAGATTAAACTTAGGCAGAAAGAAAAGAATCTACATCCTTGAATGTGAAGAACTGATTTTATCAGCCAGTGAGGAACTCAAGAGTTAGGAACTGGGCAAAAATTACATGCGGTACAGCAAAATCATAGTATTTCTGGACTACCTTTTTGCTTGATCATAGGTGGAACAAATTTTGTAGAATAATCCAACAACCTGATGTGGAAGTGCTTTCAACTTCCCAGCAACGCAAGTCTGCAGGTACTGACTTCAGCTGTGTTCTAGTATGATTACAGACATCTCTGATTAAACAAGGCTCAGAACATACGCCTTTCCTCATGTCTAATAGCACATTCATGATCCAGGAAAAGAACCACTTTCTGAGATGTTGGAGTTTAGGAACCACATCTGAATTTTAAAGAAGGACAAGGTGGGAAATAGTCAAGCTTTACAAACTCCCTTTGGGCATCTCTCTTTGACAGGAAGAGAGAAGGCAGACTGCAAAGCCATTCAGAGTAAGGGGGAAAATGAGGCAAACAGAAATATTGAGTTTATCTTGCATTCCTCCTTAACAAAGATGGCTGGCTACCACCTCCTCTTTCAGTGCTGTCCTGTTTGGGCAGGAGAGTTGGGCTGGTTCCAACGGGATGAGGTGCAACAAGGCCAAGTGCCGGGTCCTGCACTTTGGCCACAACAACCCCCTGCAGGGCTACAGGCTGGGGACAGAGTGGCTGGAGAGCAGCCAGGCAGAAAGGGACCTGGGAGTTTGGATTGACAGGAAGCTGAACAGGAGCCAGCAGTGTGCCCAGGTGGCTAAGAAGGCCAATGGCATCCTGGCCTGGATCAGGAACAGTGTGGCAGCAGGACCAGGGAAGTGATTCTTCCCCTGGACTCAGCACTGGTGAGGCCACACCTGGAGTGCTGTGTCCAGTTCTGGGCCCCTCAGTTCAGGAAGGACATTAAGGGGCTGGAGCAGGTCCAGAGAAGAGCAACAAGGCTGGTGAAGGGACTGGAGCACAAGTCCTATGAGGAGAGGCTGAGGGAGCTGGGGCTGTTCAGCCTGGAGAAGAGGAGTCTCAGGGGAGACCTCATCACTCTCTACAACTCCCTGACAGGAGGTTGTAGCCAGGTGGGGGTTGGTCTCTTCTCCCAGGCAGCTACCAGCAAGACAAAAGGGCATGGTCTTAAGCTGTGCCAGGAGAGGTTTAGGTTAGATATTAGGAAGAAATTCTTTACAGAGAGGGTAATCAGACATTGGAATGGGCTGCCCAGCGAAGTGGTGGATTCTCCATCCCTGGAGGTTTTTAAGATGAGACTGGATGTGGCACTCAGTGCCATGGTCTAGTAACCACGGTGGTGATGGAACAAGGGTTGGACTTGATGATCTCAGAGGTCTCTTCCAACCCAGCTGATTCTATGATCATACAATAAAGATCATGACATTCAGATACACCCTGTGTATTTGTACACATAGACAGACTCCCAGAATCCTACTGTCACCAGTCACACGTGCATTCAACAGTCTCTCTCTCCTTTGGGACTTTGACCAGTTGAGAGATTAAGATAGCAAATTTTTCTCTCTGCCCTTATAAAAAGGAACAGGAAGTATACAGTTTCTATCCTTGGGGATCTGTGTGAACTTATCTTTTCCACACTATCGCTTTCTTCTAACAAGTAACAGCAGCTATTTCACTATTATGATGCCAGTACAGCAAGACAAATCAAGCTCTAAGCTGTCTTCTCAGCCCTGCACAGCCCTTTCCCCTTGGCTAGTGTCTGTAGCTGAGTCTTCCAGCAGGCTGATAGACTTTGGACATCAGCAAGGATATACAACAGGGGCTTTTTTCCCCCTCTTCATGAGCAATACACAGCATCACACTCACAGGTGGGGAGCAGCTATAAATAGCACTACATCACCATGTACCTAACTCCTGACATTTCTGAATGCAGACGCTGGAGTCTGCACTGCTTGTTAGTGCTGGGTAATCAACACCCCGGTTTGCAGGCAGAGGTGGGCATGAGGCAGCGCTACTTACATTCCACTCTGTGCGCTGAAAGGCAGCAAGCGAGTTCTGTGGGGCGAACAGCTTTGCGCTTGCCACGCTGCATCTCCTCCAGCAGCAGGAGCATTTGGTACGGGACATTGCTCCTCCTCTGCGCGGCACACGGTGGCACTGTGATCCTACAAAGGGAAGAAGCAACACGGATGGTCATCAAGGGGTACAATGGAGAAATATCAGACATCACACCTGAAGGAGCAGAAGGTAAGTAGCCCAGCTAGCAACTCAAGAGGAACCAGAATGGGTATATTTTCAGCAAAAGAAGGAAAAAAGGGGAAGCAGTCACCTGCACTAGCTCACCCCACAGCGCAGGCTGACAGTTCTAAAGTGAAAGGCCACAATGTTAAGTCGGCCTGTTCCTGAGTAAGGGACAAGCCAAGCAGGACCTCAAGTGCTTTCTGGGCTCTAGAAATAACATTAGTTACAGCCAGTTTCAGAGCTGTTCTTCCCTCCCACTGATTCATGTCCTCATTCTCAACATACCCTCAAAATTTCATGGGCACATAAATCAAAATGCTTGTATTTCAAATATATGCCAACTGAAAAGCTCTTTATCCTCCCTAAATTTATTGCAGTCCACAGGTTTTTCTAAGTCTTTCTTCAAATAACCGTGGTAACCTACTGTCTACATTATTTAACTTTGCCCATTCATGACACTTCTCATCTCTGCACGTCTGTAACATCTTTCTCCTCTGCACAGTAGTGAGCATCCAAGAAATGTAGAGAAAGAACTGAATAGGAATGATCCACTTAGATGTTTAAAGTTGCAGGGAACTGAGTAAATTGAAAATAAATCAAACCAGTTATTATTGTAGTTGGTAGGGAGGCAGAAGCCCAAATCCTCCTCACAAACAACCAGGGAGAACAGTCAAGCAAGACAAAGTAAAGCTATGTATTCTTGATCTGCAACAACATTATTAGTCTTCTCTATGAGGTGCTAACCAGGGCAGTCAGGGGCCAGAGGCTGGGGATTACCAAATGTTTGTGTTTACATGCTTAAAGTTACAAAATTAATAGTGGATATGGTTAGGCACAACACATCCTTTTTTTAAGATGGCCTATGAGTAAACCTGGAATAAAATCATATCCTCTTTTGGAAAAGAGAGATACAAGTCATAAAGACTCAGCTCAGGACTGCAGCTTACTGGTGTGCAAAGGGCACACGAATCAGAGATGACTAACAAGTCAGAATACTGCAACTTCTACTTTTGCAGGCCCTAGACTATGCATGACAGACACAAGGCAGAGACCTTGCTGAGGGAGCTGAAAGCACCTTTGATAGCACCTCAATGATCTAATCCTTCAAATGTACATCCCATATAAAAAAGAGGGGGAGGCAACAAAGCAACAATGGAAGTATCTCTGGTAGTTCAAACAAGTGGTACCTTCGAAGTATCCCTGTGAAGTGTATATTCATGAGGAACACTTGGAGTAGAGAGTTCAGACAGCAGCTCTGTCCAAGGTTATACAGTCCAATAGCTCCTGCAGGAATAGAAGAAGAGGAAGTGAGGCCTGGAGATAGGTACAGGAAAAGAAAGTGAAAATTATTTGAAAGTGGCAAACTCCTCTTGTCATTCAGTGGTATAGGCCGAGCATCTTGGTCAGACCCAAAAAAGTGTTCAATCTATTCTTCTGTTGCTCAAGTAGATAACTTCTGGTTTTGTTTGGTGACTGACAGGAAAAAACGAAGTAAGCCTGGATAATGATACTCAGATTTCTCCCAGTTCCTCTATTTTCAGTCCTCTGAAACCACCTGAAACACCTAAACAGAAAATAAAACCACAGGAAGCAAAAGGACTTTTATTTAGTCTTTTACACAGCAAAGCCTAACAAAAAAATGAAGAGCTCCATATGGGACCAGATCCTAGCTGTCCATCACACAGGATTCAAGTTTCCCCTTCAGCCTGTCTCTGGTATGGTTTTTTCCAGTTTCAAAGGAAGGAACTAGCCTGAGAGAAGAAGCAAGTCACAGCTGCTCCTACATCTAAAAAGGTGGCATGTTCTGTGCCCCACTGTGTAGGATCGTGACCAAAGCAAGCACACAAAGGGTTAACAAAGCAGTGGACATTGCCAGAATGGAAGAGAATGTGGCAGAAGGTGGGAGGAAGTGTCTACAAGGTGCATGGAGCCAAAGGTCCATGACCCAGAACAAGAAGATGATTGAAGAAAAGAAGAAAGCGTGTTGAAAGCTGATAGCCGCAAAGATGGACGTTAGTTGTTTAACAGGTAGAAATATGCACACTGTAATTTTATAGGGCCAAGTATTGCTTGTTGATAGGTTGAAGAGGCTTAGCTAACAGACCAGAAACGAAACTAGTTCCTCTATAAATAGAGGCTTGAAATAAATAATAAACGATCCTCTTGCTGACCAGCGAGGGTGTCCGTGCCTCGGTCGCTACACCCCACTGCAGTATAAGCAACCCTGGTCAGAAATTAGAAATTTTGCTTCTGAAGTCATCACCAAAGAGAGAGAGGACACGGAATGGAAACCCAGAACACCTTTGAAATACGTACAGTCAGTGGTAAGGGTGGGCCTAGTTCATGGTTTAGTAAACCCAGAATCAATGCTGGCTTTGTTTGGAAAGAGACAGAGCCACCATCTAGACCTTTTGGGCTGCAATGGCCAATTTGAGGACTTAAAATGGGAAAAAGCTATGAGATCCTCATGCAATCCATTCCCCTAAAATGGTTATTTGGCAGGATAAAATAATAATCATCTGCATATTCCTCAGTGAAGAAGTAAGGAATAGGAGAAAATGAAGCCTGAGGACAGAACAGCAGCCATTAGAAACAGAAAATATTAGAGCTAAGAACAGACAAAATATTATTACCATTTTTTAAGTCTGCCACACCAAAGACTGATGTCAGCCTCCGTTCTTTGGCCTTCAGCTCTTTGGCTTCATCTTTATTACTTTGTACTTCAGCTTCTGCCTCCATGGTCTCACTTAGTGCCAGCTCTGGTTTCTTGCCTCTTTCTTGATGTCCACTGTTTTGCCCCATCCACAATACTGTAAAAAGACAGAAGGACGGCAAAGAGACACAGCAAGATCAGAAAGATTGGGAGCATCCAAAACCACCGGATTTGTCTGTGATATTTTCATTACGAAAAAGGTGAAATCACAGAATGGTTTGGGTTAGGAGGGACCTTAATCTAGTTCCAACCCTCCTGCTACAGGCAGGGATGCCACCCACTAGATCAAGGTTGCTCAGGGCCCCGTCCAGCCTGGTCTGGAATATCAATAAAATAAGCAAGATTACTGCAACAGCATTTGGTGTATTTGAATAACATGGGTATTGTAGCTGTGCAAGGTAACAGAGTTTAATGGCAATTTCTCATCCTGTCTTCCTCTCGAGGCTATATAAATAAATGAACCTTCAGTTCCACAGAAACAACTCCATCTAACTAGAGAACTCCAGATATCCCTGTTCAAGGAGATTTCGTAAATAAGATGATTAATATTATCCCAACGGCAAATGTTGCAAAACTCCAATGTTTAGTAAAAGCAACATTTTATCACCCGAAGTACCCCAAGTATTCAAAAGGGCAAATTTCACCTTTTTTTAGCCTTTTGACCTGATAAGCATGTTTGGTTTCTGTGCTGGGCTCCCTGCACTGTTTTTAAGTGCCTTATTCACAGCTCTACTGTGGCACTTCGGACTGCAATTTTTGAAAGACATTTAAGAACTGAAATATCAGTTTCTTTTTCTGTTCCTTCAAGTGATCACAGGCAATTGCACAAGGGAACCATTATAATACCTTGACTGTCGACAGACCATTACTCTGAGACATTCTCCTGTGACTCAGCTACTGACTACTAAACCAAAGTAAAAATACATGAGCAAAACAATATGATAAACGTTCAAATGCAACTATACAAAATTGAAACTTTTTATAAGCCCACCTCCAACACAAAGAACAGAATTAGAAAAAAGTGGATATGCTTAGGGAAGCATTCACAGGTGAGGAGGGGGGACCCACAAAACAAATGCTCAGACATTATTATTTAAAAATATTAAACAGCACATAAAATCAACCGAAGGCCAGGTGCTGAAAGAATGAAGGAAAGCTACCAAGGAAGGGAAATAAGCAAAATATCCTGATTCCGCCTTTCACAGAAAGAAAATCTTTGTTTTAAAAGCATGTTTTCAGGTTAACTGTGCCTAATAATGTCAAATATCAAAGCTTCTGAAGACTGAGGCAGAAAAACTAGAAATGGATTTTTTTCCCAATTATTACCTTTAAGCTTAAGTATAATTATTTCCAACTGTACTTTTGAAGATTACTTTTGAACTCTGTCATACACTCAGACTCACTAAAAATTGTCGAATTTGCTGAGAAGTTTATTTGAAAAAAAACAAACAACTCTGACAAAGATAGATTCAAGAATATTGCTTTTTACATACCCAAAATCCAGTGATTAGAACAGCTATGGAGGAAAAGAGAAATTTTATTTGATTTCTTCCTTGGCAAAACAGAGTCTGAACACACACTGCCTCTTTCCCTGGAATTGATTTAACAGTGCATTCAGGTTTCTGAAAGCCCAGCTGGTGTGGAGCCCATCTGGGCCTGTAACATGAGAACCACTGGGTTTAGCTGGTTGGCCTTAGCCAAAAGGTAAGGGATGCTCACAGCCAGTGGGGATGCCAAAGAAGACAGAAAGGAAAGGGACAGGCAGTGCAGAGGTGGCAAAAAAATAGCTGGGGATGTAGCAGGGATGAAGCGAACCAGCAAGACATTACTTTTGTCAGGATAAGATTAAGGGTAGGATTAATGAGTAAACTCAGGGCTTTGGGTGACTTGAGAAATAGGTAGAAAAATACTAGGGCATGAAGATGCAGGAGGATACAGAGAGAGGAGGGCTTGGGTTTCTAGTTCAATGACACTCTCCCCCAAGCACCTCTAGCAAGAACCCGGGTACTGGAGCAGGGACACGAATACAGTTTCCCAACCCTGGCATGGAACTGGCTCACTTTGTCTGGCTGTCAGCAGTAAAGCATTCCTAAGATTTGCACTTGACCGTCTTTCCCTTGCACAAGTGTATAAAAAAACTGGTGAGTGAGCTGAGGAACTGAGGAGTAGGCTCCCCTCCTGCCCCCAATTTCTCCTCTCTCACCAGAGGAGCAGGGTTACTTCTCAGGTTTTTTTGCAGGTCAGGGGTAGGACTCAGTACCCTCAAGTATGTGGCTTGGCTGCACCAAGCAACTCCACTAGCACTGGGCATCCTGTAATCATGTAACCCTCTCACTTGCTCTCCCTCAGCCAATCCCATCATCCTCCCTCTCATCCTGGACTGCTCCACAGTTCCATCTGCCCTCCCAAGACACTGGTTTCTCACAACAAACCCCCAGTGGTGCCTTCACGCCCTGTGCCTCGAAGTGCCCCTCCGCCTGAGGAGTAGCCCCATCTCTGCCCCTGGTCACCCCTTCCCCACCATTGTCGTCTCCTTTCCCCTCACGGGCATCTTGGGGTGCAGATGGTGCTGGGGTGGGCGGTGGGCTGCAGGTGGGAAGGCCAGGTTGGATGAGGCTCTGAGCAACGTGGTCTAGTGGAAGGTGTCCCTGCCCACGGGAAGGGGGTTGGAACTAGGTATCTTCAAGGAAACCATTCTATGATATTATGACTCTGTGATGCCCCGAGGTGCTCCTCGAAGGGGAGAGGGACTCAATGTGATGACCCATCCTCAAGGAGAAGTACCTAAGAGCGCATCACCTCCACACTTCTCCGGGATGCGACTGAAAGGAGACTTCCCACCCTGTTGTTGAATCACTCTCCCTTATTTCCCTCTTTTTATTACCTTCCCTCCAGGCACACTGCACCTCTGCCTCGACCTATCTCACAGACCAGCAAAAAGGCTTCTTACCAATTACCGCAGGACCCAGCAGCGCTTCGAGCCTCGGCTGGACCTCACGTTCACCTGCTGACAAAGGGGGCAGCGGGGGCTCGGAAAACTCGCCTGCCCGCACCGGAGCGGCGCGGAGGAGCCGCTCACCCGGAGGAGCCGGGAGGGCAGCGGGAGCCGGGAGGGCAGCGGGAGCCGGGAGGGCAGCGGGATCCGGGAGGGCAGCGGGAGCCGGCAGGGCTGCGGGGCGGAGCGGGGCCGTCCCGCCGCTCGGGCTGCGTCAGGCGGCGGCAGCGCCCGCCCCGCAGTTTTCATTTCCCGCTCGGTCGGGAGAGAGGACAGAAAGTGAAACTCAGCGCCGCCCTGGGCCGCTTCCCGGCACGGAAAGGCGGCCGAGGGACAAGAGACCTCCCCCAGCTCAGCGGCCGCTCGAGGGGAACTGCTGAGAGTGGCACAGCACTGGAAAAGTGATGCCAGTACTGCCCAGGGATGCCAGTACTAAATAAATACTTGAGAAAAGCAGCACTGCTTGGTTTTGCATTAAGGCTGAAGTATTTTTCCTGCTTTTCGAAAGCTGCTCGGGATGAGAAGAAATTGCTGAAATTCCCTCTGAATCCCCTAGCTGCTCTCTATTGTCCAGTCTCGTGAAATGTAAGTAAAAGCAACTGCAGACGCTAAAAATGGAAAGCTTTCACCCAGTCTGTTCAGAAACACACATTTGTAAAAAATTCAACAACACTGATATAAAGCAGAAGCAAGCAACAGCAATAAAGCCATTTGAAACCATTACAAGGACAATTTTAAAAAGTCGTAAAAATAGAGTAGGTACAAAAACGTGTGCAATTCTGTAGTTCACTCAGTAACTTTTGTGACACATTCAGTTTCATGAAAAACAAACCTGATGGAACTATTGCTCAAGAAACAAAAGCAACATAGTAACCTACTTGCATGACAGTCTGACTTGATGCTTGGCACCACAGTTCTCAATAAACCCATACACTACACATGTGGCAGTTATGTTGAAAAAATGAGGCAGCTAAAGCTGCTAATATTTGCATTAGGTTATCCTGTTTGCAACTTGCCTTTCAGAGTTCATAACTTCATATTCAGTGCATGATCAATGACTCTCTTTTTCCGTTTCATTTTCATCCATGAAAAATGCAGTGTTCTGAAAACCTCTCATTTTTTAAGGCCAGTGCCAAGTTTGATTCTACATTTTCTGTAAGAAACGGTAAGAACAAATATAGAACTTTAACACACTTCAAAAAAAAGTAATAATGTATTTGACCCGTATTAAAGACTGTATCTGACAGAAGACACAAATAGCAGGCAGCCATCCATTAATAAAGAAATTATTCAGCATTAACATGGCCATAGTATTAATGAATTCTTAATGAGATAATGCTGCTTACAACTCATTTTCCACGAACAAAGTTTTGATGGCATTATACAGGGGACAGGCATATAATTTAAGGAGCAGCTGAGGATAATAAAGAGATGAAGCCCTCTGTTTACCCACCAGCCAGGAAAAAAGTGGCATGATCTCTGCAGTGGCAAGACACAGCTGTCACACTGTGTTACCATGGTGCACTTCCTGCGTGAGGAATTACAAATGTCACATATTTAATGTGCTTTAGATGTGATTACAGCACCCGAGTTCTACCAAAACAGTATAAGGTTTTCCAGTATTTTCATTACAGGTTTCTATTTCCAGGTATGTTTGGAAGTGTTTTTTAAAAATGCAGTTTGCCAAATTGATACCTGCTGTGAAGTGAAAAATTTCTTGTTAGGTATCAGTGTGAGACTTAGGAAGTTTTTTGAAACTATTCATTAGATATTGCTTACAGGACAATCAGTAGGTCATTTTCCACATTAAAAAGAACCACATTTCTTTTTTAAAAAATGTATTCTAAATAGGGAACCTCAAATTCACTTCTGGAAACAAAATTATTTTTTTTTTCTTCTTGTATAGGCCTTCTTCTTGAACTAAAAATACTTTTTAATATCCAGGTGTAATCTTAGTTCAACAGGTGAAAGAAAACTCCAAACTAATGTCTGAAAAGTGGCATTATCTACAGAGGTCTCTCAGCCAACTTGTCCTTTATATATTCAATCCTGTAATTACATAATCTTATGATAAATCACAGTAAATTTGAAGGACATTATTTTAATCAATGAAGGGCATAATTTTAATCAAATAAAAGATCTAATTTATTTTTTGACTGAAGCTTGCATAATGAAGGAAATAAATAGGTTATTTTCTATGGCTCTGAACACTTGCAGTTTCTGTTTGTGTTTATGAGGTAACTGAAACATTTTAGCTGTTGTTTAACACCTAAGCTTCAGTGAGTATACATCAAGACATCACTTATTATCATTTTAAGTAGATTTTTGTGTTCTTTTTTCTTATATGTGTAGGCAGAAAATATAAAACCTGATTTAAATTAATCACCTTACTGTAAATTCAATATAGTACATAAGTAAAACAAGTAACTTCAAACGCTGTGGTGGATTCAGATTACAACTCAAATGAGAAGCAGAAACCTTTCATGTCCAAAACAGTCAATCTAATGATCAAATTACAAGAATTTTCTTTAAATAATTCATAACAGAGACAAGTTTTTCTATAGTTCATGTTGAATTTTCTAGTTGTGTTCCTAATACGGCGGCCACCAGAATGAAGAAGGGTGAACCGTACACGTATTGGTTGCACTGGTTTCATGTTTGTCTCCAAATGTAAAGCAATACTCTTAATATACAAAAGATTTTCTGTTCCACAACAAAAAAATCCCCCACACAAACCAACAAAAGAAGTGGAACTCAAGCACAAGGAAATTATTTTCAGAGTGACAGCCAGCTCAGTATGTCCTGATGCGCTGCCATCCAAAACACGGTGTAAAACCATTAATGTCTCCCTAAGCTTCAGTGAAACCTCAGAAGGAAGTCATAAACTCCATTTGAGATATTCTATGGGTGTGGCCCTGCTGGTATGACATTTTTAATGATCCTAATTAACCTCTCGGTTAGTTGTTTTAATTAATCATAGATTGCGTGTAAGGCCTTAAATCACTTTAAGCCAGCATACAGCAAAAGTATGTACTTCCAAACATTTCAGAAGGCCACCTCTGACCTCCAAAAGTGATTATGTTTAGAAGTTGCTCCAAAACAAAAGGTGAGGTAAAAATAGCAGTTGCTGTCCCTTTCATTCCCTGAGCACTCTATCAGAAAGGTCTTGCTGGCCTCTGCTGGGCAGACGATCACTTGCAGTACCAACAGTAGGACTAGGTGTTTCCTTTCCTTTGGAAAGTACTGTCATTCACTACCAGGGACTACTCTTGCAGCCTGCATCTAAACTGAAAAGTTTCCGGCTCCAGTTTGCACAGAGAAATGTGCGGGAGAAAAGCCTGTTCGGAATCCTGCTCTGCACCTTCCACCTCAGCTCTAACTACAATCACACATGAACGCTGAAAAGTGAGGCTGAAAGAGTGTGATGGTCCTTAAGAGCTGAGAAGGATGGTGGAGAGCACTTGCAGTAGGACTGCAGATTACAGACTGTAAAGGAGAGGACTGTCACTTGATCGTGGTGCAAATACAAGGTTCTGAACAGAAGGGGCCATGTGCGAGCAAGCTTTTTGTCCCAACACATTTCTCTCTGAGGGGCTTATGGAGCATCAGGCCCTTCTCAGTCTTGCCAAGTATGAAATCTCCATGTGCTTCTCACACAGAAAAAAGTGTTAGGAGAGAAACAGAGTAGCAAACTGCTTCTGTGGAAACATGCTGGGGCCTTGTACTTTCTTTCTCAGCTCTTCAGTGTACCCCATTCTGTCACTCTTGCAGCCTGAATCTAAATCAAAAACTGTCTGGCTACCTCCGGCACAGATGAATGTTTCACAGTAAAAGACTTGCTCAGACCTTGATACAAGATTGGAAACTCCACGATCAAGTGGCAGTCCTTTCCCCTTGCAACCTATGAACTACAGTCACTCCATGGAGCTCTGCACTTTCTTACTCAACTATATCTATCGTGAAGCACTTTCAGTCTTGCAGAGCCTGATACACTTCTAGCACAGAACACAGTTGCTGAATCTCCCCTTTGCCTCGCAGCCTTCCATGTAAACACCACACACTGGGGCTTTGCACCTTCCTTCTCAGCTGTAGGAACTGTCACATTTTTTCACTGTCAGATCCGAGTTTCAACCCTTAAAATGTTCTTATGCTCCTATTAAAAAAAAGGTACCAGAACCAAAACACAGGGTTGCCATTAACCTTCCCCTGCTACTGATAAACTGCACCAAATATACGTACCACTGCTCTGCACTTATCTTCTCGTACCACCACACTCTTGCAGTCTGAATCCAAACTGGAAGTTTTCCAGCTACAGCTCACACAGATGAATGTGACAAGATAAACAAACATGCTCTGACCTTGCACTTTACGTTTGAAAACTCTTATACACATCCCTATCGAATCGCTTTCCACTTGCAGCCAGTAAACTGCGGTCACACTGTGGTTCTCTGCACTTTGCCACTAAGCTATATGTACAACCATGTACCTTCAGTTATGCAGAGAAAAATGGGCTGATGTAACTACCAATAAAAACGTGTGGCATAACAGAAGAAGTAGCCAGGTAATTTTTTGCCATGGCAGCATTTCTGCAGCTACACAGCTTCCTTCTTATCTTTTCACTCTCGCAGAGTTTAACTTAAAACCTTAAAACATACCTCAGCTGCTCCAATACGAATGGCCAAAGAACAAAATCCCAGAGCTGTAAAAACTGCTGCAATGCACGTTTCTCCTCAACAATGACCTCACATTAAATTGCACAGGGTCTAAAGCTAAATGGAAGTGTTTACATGTAGAACTTGAATATGAAAATGTAACAGCACAGAAAGTTTTGCTGACCTTCCCCCTTAGAATTAATAACTTGAAATTCAGACCACATTAGAGTGGTCCAAAGAAATGTGCTGGGAAAAAAACTGCTCATCCCTTGACCCTTCTCTTCAGAACCTGGTACTCTCACCAGAAGTGATAGTCCTCTTCCACAGAGAGCTTGTAAACTACAGTCCCACTGCAAGTGCTCTGCAGCTTCCATCTCAGCTGCAAGTACCATCACAAACTTCCCAGGCTCACTGAGACCAAAATGTTTATCCC